TTTAGAATATATTCGTCGCTGACTTTGTTCCAATATTTCGTTACATACCTACTCCTGGTGTCAACAGATTAAAGAAAGTTCTTAAGGAGTCGTCCAACTTAATTCAAAATCAGGTCAATGAATGTAAAGGCAAATTTGAATCAGTTAAAAAATCTAATATTTTCTCAAATGGGTCAGTACCTTATGAGGTGAAGTCCAAGTCACCATTTTGTTAGGTGAAGGACGTATCATATTTAATCTGACATTAGTTATTGTGAGAGCAAACGCGTTTCATGTTATGACAACTCGATTTTGAGAGATAATACTCTAATTAACGAGCTGGGGCAATAATACACATCTAGTTGCAAATTAATTTGAGTCCAGTTGAAAGTAATATCAACTTGGGAATATTGGTAAAGACGCATTGATGTCCCATTTCCATACAACTGATCCAAAAGTTTCTGATCGTTTTAAATGTTAGAAGTAAATTAATTAATTAATTAGAAAACTTGTAATGAAGTGTGGTAACCTATGTTTTCCGTTCAATTGAATAATTAGGCGTTTCTGCAATTGTTGCCAGACACGCATCGCGTCGCCGCTGTGCGGCCAACCAAGAAAGGAATCAAACAAATTCTGGAAGGTCGCAAAATAAAAATCCTGTACAATTTAATGACATCTACACTCTGACTAAAAGAGAGTGACAGTGGGTTTTTAGTGTATGGAAAGCTGCAGGAAACGACAGTTTATTGATTTCTTTAAGAAAACAAAAACCTGATAGGCTTCAGCAGGGGCACATAACTCCGGTATCGTTGACGTTGTATTTAGTACGTGCTGTACGACTACGAATTATGAAGGCGGCTAATTTGCATAAATCATTACCTGAACACAAAACTTATTTCCATATTGCATTTCTTAATTTATTTTCTCCGAATTGTTTGACGGGAACTATGTATTATTATACGAATACTTATTCGTAAATTATTGTTTTCCGACGAATTTGCATACAATATTCAATATTCTCAGGTAATATTTCTAGTTTCATGAATTGTGTGTGCATTGCCGACAATTGACGTGATTCAACAAAATGCATGTAAAGTTGTGAAAAATGTTGCCACTAGCATTTTCAGTTCAAAGTTTTAATTTTGTTTGTCATTCATATTTGTTAATTCTTTCAATTTCATACTGATTTTGCTGACTGTAAAATATAACCCTTGACTCCAGATAGGGTATAACTGTTCTACTACTAAAAAATCATATTGTTACTATATACTAATAATAATGACGGGAAAAGTCTCATCGATGACCTCTTTACAAATTACAAGTTGGCTGGAGAAGACCTTGTCGAGCAACTTACAGACGTCAATCTACGTCAGACTCTTGCCGATCTAGTTGGAGGTACGTTTCGTTTCAATATTGACGAAACGTTACAAATCTAACAACTTCAATTTCAATTCAATTGTTTACTAACTGTGTTTTTCATTTCTGAACTATTCAGCGTTTAACAGAAATATAACTAAATCAGTGTTAGTTAAATATAGATCACAGTCTTGTATATATTGATTATATAACGATATGCCAGACCCATTCACAGAAGGGTGTGTTTCTCGTAATTCGTTTACTCTGAAACTAGGAGAGTTTTATAGTTTATAATTTACAATATATTCTACATTTCTAATTAATTGCATTTTAGCGGGTCTAGATACTACGATGTCTTCAATAAATTGGGATGTTATTTTCCTGACGTACTACCCGGATGTGCAGTTCAAAGTATAAAATGAAATTGATGACGTCAATGGTGATGGTCGATGTGATGTTATCTGATAAGGGTAAATTCGTGAACTTCTGCGAATGGGACCGGTGGTACGCCATGCTACTACAGTCTGTGGGTAGGTGTGTGTTGTTCACAAAAGAAATGAACTAAATAAAATATTGTAACACAATTGTAGGGACATTCGACGCATGAACAAATCTCGTGTCCTTTTCACTCTTGAAAGATGTTGTGCTATTCCCGTATATATCGATTAAACAACACAACGTATAGGATATCTGAAGTATTCCAATCTTCGAATACACTTATATACATTTCACGTAAATAACATATTTTGAAATAAATAAATAAATAAATATTATTTAAAATGAAAATATCAGCCGGAAAACAGTCACACTTAAATTATTACTGTCAACTGCTTTCACCTACATATTTTTGTTATTGCAAACTGAAAATTTCTATTTAGTATTTAATTATTAGTATTTTTTAGTAAATTATCATAGTACATTATTTAGAATTATTGAAACTATTATGCACTACGAATTACGCACTGTCACTGTAAGAGTGGTTTTACCAAAAAAATATATAAGAAACGTAAAATACTAGTGGTTTTGCCAAATTATTTTATATTATTTCTAAATGTATGACAACTGCAGAAACGGAAATACAAACTATTATATGTATCATGGAATTCGTTGAGCGATAGAAAGTTGCCTAAGTGATATGGTGCATATACGCATCCAGGCAGGAGAAAGACATTAAATACAGTATTCACACAAATTTACAGAATCTCATGTGGTGTAGATTTCTGATGAAAATTTTTCTTTAATATTAATAACTACAATTAACTTGATTTTCCATACCCGACTGTCATAAGAAACAAGTTTTATAATAGAATAAATTACAGTTCACTTTCACAGTTATTGACGAGCGCGCATAATCAGTCGCTCTTGTATTCTTAAAGTACACATAAACTTTTCCGGTTTTACTCAAATACACTAGCAAGACAAATATATTATTATGAAACTTGGTTTATCAGTTAATTGTTATCCTAGTATGATTGCTAATTACATTAATGTATTTATCACGCCGAACGTTTCATGGAAACCTTGGTACGGCATATTAGTGTACAGTATGGCTATTTATTATATTTTATTGTGACTGTGGTTTTGACGAAAACAGAGAAAACTCAAATACAATTTATAACTAATGGAATGATGCATTTATATTTCGGATATTTATATTCTATCCGCCATTCATATATAACAGTCTCAAGTGAAAATATTAATAAATAACATTCAAAATAAATAAACACTGTGACACAGAAAGACAAATGTTTATGGATCTGTCATCGGGTTCTCGCGCGCGTTTCTTGCTCTTCTATAGGATTTAGGTTGGTTGGCTAGATGGATGGATGTAGTTCGTCGTCTGGGGGAAATAAGTGACGCTGTCTGAGTTAAATTTGGGGTATGTTGCTTGGCTTTGAGAGTACCTTCCGGGAATCGCATAGGTGATATTTTAACTGCTAAACAATATTTACTCAATTTACTGCATGTCGTTTTCATCATTTATAATATAACACACACCCATAGTTGCACGTTCCGAGGCCTAATTGTACGTCAACGCAGAGTGTTGAGCCGTACTGAACCGATCTGTTGTCCTCGACCCAACTCTCTCTTTGACGTGTACTCTGCATTCTGTCTCTACTGTACTCTCATACTCTGACACTAACTTTCTGACTTGACTTGACTTACTGCCCTTACTGTCTACCTCGAAAAGTTGCATTGTGGAATGTATCTTGTTATCTTAAGATCACTACGCTCTCTTGCGTAATCATGCGAAATGGAGTGTCAGTGAAGTACAGTAGGACATTTGTAGGGTAGCTCAAACATTGACTCACTTTTTGATAGCCAATGCAATATGTTGGAATCTCAAATATGCTGCATTATTTATCATCAATAAATTATCAATATTATTTGTTTGTTCATTCAAGAGCACTCGTCATATAAATCCCTGCTCTTATTTTCTTTACATTGCAAACTTTCAGTCGAACAGACGAATTGTTATCCGCGATTTGTTGATATTCTGATTCTGGGGACACTGGTAAAAATAGAACCCTGTTGGTATTCCTGCGTAAAACGACGGTTGAGGGAGATAGATTGCATAACAATGACGACGCATGATGTGACTACACAATGGGCCCATCGCATTTCCACAAGGTAGCAAGATGCAAACGGTACTGTCACTGGCCAAAATCGTGTGTTGCTGGCTTGTGGTAGCTTGCCAAGCTCCATAATCGTAATCCAGATAATTCACGTAATGAAGATTTACCTGCAGTTTGAAGCCGTTAATATTCCAATTATTATTTGCATCATGTATTATTCAAATTAAATTGTTATTAAATATCCTTTATGATTGAACTTTTATCAGTGCAAAAGGTTGGCATCTTGCACGGACATGCGCATAAATAAATATCCTGTATTACATCGTTCTCGCAGTCATTTCAATGACAATTCTACAGTTGAAAAGATTTTCAATATTTGTAATTTTTGTGTTGCATTTGCTATATGATGCATGACAAAGTCTACAAAGAATTTATAAGCGGCAATGCAGCAAAAACAAACCAAATTGTTAATTACTTGTATTTCTTATTTTATTATTGATCAATGAATTATTGCTACTTATACTTTCAGAAAATAAATGTTTAACTATATTTTACATGCGCTATCTGTAAATCATAAATGATAAATGCAGGGAATCAATTTTACCTCATTATCAGAATATGAAAAAATAATTTTTAATGTAAATTGAAAGTATGACACAAATTATTTAAAAAATGTATAAGCTTGTGTCACAAGATTTTACGTATTACTAATCATATGAATATTACGAACACCTTGAAACCACTTCATAATTAGCACAGAAAAATATTCGCACAATCAAGACAAAACGTTGAGGTGTATGCGATCACAATAAACTGGCACTACAGGCCAACGGAACAACAAAGAAATACATTTTTCAGATTAACAAACATAAAATAAAAAATACTGGAGTAGTGAGTTTTTGCGTTAAAAATTCGGGTCAAGATTAAAAATATTTTCTAACTTCAGATGTTCAGAGCAAAACACTTGAAAAGGATGAATTGTGTAACAACTATCACTACATATCAAATCAAAATGTGACTGTTTTACCAAGCGCTGTTCCAGGGTGCATACATCATTCGTTTAAATAAAAGCTAATACTAATAGCTCGCCTCTAGGGAATGACCTAGAAGTGCCCACTAAGTAAAACATGATATTCCCTTCTCATAGATGCCGTTCGCATTTGGGCTCTCCTAAAATGATTTTATGATCAATTATACAAAAATATAGTAATGTTTCTGAAGTTGATAACACGAGTTTATTTTCTCCTGTTAACGGCAATGACCTTATATGGACAACATTTTATGACCTGTGTGATGAAGTGTGGCTTCAAGCACGGCTTTCTGTGGCCTATTGGCAGAGTAAATGTGTACTGTTGAAATACACTCGTAAAAAGAAGAAACAGTTCATTCTTAGCCAATGCTTCTCCCATACACACTCGGCGTCCAGCTGAAAATGGCATGAAACTATCCCGTTTTGACAGCATCTCTCCATCGGCATGCAAGAAACGTTCTGTAGAATGAAACATACGCTATGTTTGTGTTACACTGTTCATGCATTCTGCGAATTAAGGAGGCAAGTATTTATGAAACAAATATGTTTTTTTTTCAAATTTGCAAGAATAAACAATATTAAATATGTCATTGTTTGCATGATTTTTATTTATGCAATAGCAATTACCAATAATATTTTTATTTCGGAAATACAACCCAAAATATTTCTAAACATAAAATCTGAAAATGTAATTATGGGATATCATAATTACACTAAAATAACTTCGATATACTACACTTCTGAAAGTCTAAAATAAAAACGAAATGTCCTGAAAACGCCTCAGTGGTTGGTTTTATAATTGTTTTAGACCCTCGGCTTATTTCCAGGTTTATTTTAATGTCGTCTAACTAATCATTGGATCGCATAGAATTTCAAAAAAAAAACCTGAGACGCAAATGTCTGTAGTGATATCGGTTGGGAGTCATAAGACAAGTTTTTACTCCACCAATAATGTTCTATTTTTCCCGTCACCTCGTTCATTGTTTTTAAATATCTGGGTCAGAGAGATTAGTCCAATAATTAACGCGATGACGGGAATTAATGATCAAATATTTGAGGCGAAAAGTTCCATTGCTTGCTCGCTATCAATGATATGTTTGAGGCTAAGGTGTATATGAAACATCGTGTCGTGTATGAGAACATTGTTGACTGTTTCAATCAAGCTGATTTGATATGCAAGTTACCTGGACAAAAGTCCTCCGGTTCTTCCCAATATTTCCCATCCATATGAACATTCCACAGGTTACACCAAATCCATGTATCCTTCGGTACTGCATACCCTCCTGTATTAGATTTAACAAGAAATTGAGAATAATATGAGCTACATTCAAGACTTTCTGAAGAAATGGTTGACTTTCTGGGGGAAAACTTCTTGCAATTAAAGATAAAATGATCTGTCAGATAAAATAAGTGCGGTATAACACATTAGTATAATGGTAGAATACACAAGTAGAACGGTTTAACAGAATCGGCAGAAATCTTTATAATTTAGTACGAAGTTATATTGAATATATTAGGTAGCCGAGCTGACATTTTGTTTGTTTAACAATTTGATTTTATGTAGTATATGTTGTGTATTTGTGTGTATAGTACATGTTTAAATAATTTATTTGAACTTGTTCTTTGCATGCGTGCATGAACTGGTCTATGGACCTCGTTTGTATATGTGAGTCACTCATAAATGTATTGAAGTTGATGTGCTTGCTCATGCGGTAACCAGAATAAATATAATATAGTATGTTTTGGCATCTTTATATTTTGGAACGTCTTGGCAGTTGTAGATCAGCTTCATTGAAATACAAATAGGCTACACATTTCTTTGTAACATTTATCAAGGTTACTCAGCTGAGCTAGTCCATTGTACTATGAATTATAAGAGACGAAGTTACTATTTGGTTATACTTAAACAAATGTATTTGCACATTATGCAAAAAAAGACGCACCTACAAATGTATCCACCGTAGTAGTATGAGGCAAGGCAAATGGTATAACTGTTCGTATTCGCATGAGCTCACGCATAACGGCTTCACAGTACGGTAGTTTACCCCTATCAGCTAGCAATGGAAGACGACTATCTCCAATGACGTCATCGATTTCTCTCTGTACTTTAGATTGTATATCAGGGTAATACGTGAGATAAGCAATGCTCCAATCTAACGTGTTGATTGTGGTTTCCATTCCCGCTGAAGAAATGAAATAGTCAATAATCTATTTACCACTACATCACTACGCTATACATAATACTATGCAAATGTATTTACGTCGTTGTTGTGTGATATGAGATTAGTGCTAATTTTAAAAGATGTTACTTATATATGTAATTTTGTTAGATTTCATCATTATGGTGTTATTCTTTCTTTATTTTTACATTATTATGTCATGTTATTATTCAAACATGATGCATTAATGACATAATACTATGAAATCACACGGCATAATAATATTAAACTTGCAAACGGCTTCACAGTAGTCCAAGTCTCTACAAAATCTCTAAATCCTCGCTAACATGTAATTCCCTTGGTACATACATGCTGCAAGCCAAATTTCTGATTAGTTTATTTAGATTATTTATAATCAATATCTAGGAATTTTATATGGGCATAATTGATGGTGTCAAATCAAAAGCAAATAGTTCAAATATCTTCACCAATGAACACAATACTCATTTAGGAGTTTACCCAAATCTCCTTATGTACTAGTATGTGCCGAATATCTAGTAGGCGTGACACAAATATTTGTTATGATACTCATTTCATCAATACAAATGTTTCACAGGTTTTGTCTGGTACTTTCGTCTGATATTTGGTACTGAATCGCATTCAACATTCATAAGTATTCGTTATATTTTGGTTAAATTCGTGCAAAACGTTGTAATTTTCGCGTCATGCGTTGTCTTCTTGTTAGTGTCAATAGTTCTATTAAACGTACCTGCAAATATATCAGACAATGTCTGACGTAGATTGACGTCTGTAAGTTGCTTGGCCTGGTCTTCTCCAGCCAACTCTGCTTTACGCTGAATTGATAAAAGGTCATCGATGAGACTTTTCACTTTTGTATTACCTGAGTATATAGTAACAATAGGAAACTTGTTTGTAATAGAACACTTTAGTAACACTATATCTTTTGTCAGTGCTTATATTCCAGTCAGCTCAGTCAGTATGTTGAAAAGTTGAACAGTTTAGCAAAATAAATTGAAGGAAATTATGACAAACAAACCAACGACGAAATGGGGACCCAATAATCACCAGTGACTAGGATACTGAAGTAATCCATGTTACGGAATTAACAAATATAAAAGACAAATAAAATGGACTACAAACTGAAAACGTTAGTACAAGACATTTTTCACATCTTGGTGAATCACGTCAATTATCGGCAACGCACACACAATTCATGAAACGAGAAATACCTCCCCAACAAAAAAATATATTTTACCATTTCCAAGCTTGCCTTTATGTTCATCGATCTGATGTTGAATTATGTTCAACCATTCTTTCATATATTTCTTCATTGCAATGTGTCCGGGAGTAGGTATATAACGGAACAGTGGAACAAAGTCAGCAGCTAGTCCATTCCCAAAAGATTCAAACAAATTGTTCATGAGTACCATAATCTTTAGAAGTTCAGGGTCGTCATATTCGTATCTGTAATAAAACAGACGTTACGATGATGAAATATCAAGATTTATAATACAGATCTGGATTATAATTTTTTTGTGTTCCAAGTTTTGTCCCAAAGTCTGCTTAGGCACATGTTTTTTTGTGGCTCTAGAGATGTTCTATTTCATAATTGTCGGCGATTCCCTACCTCAAATTTGGCCGATTTTAAGATACTATAGTGAAGTGAACGTATGATGAGATTAATAACACAAAATAATAAATGGTGTGAATATGTTAGCAGCATCACCATTGACTTACTTCTTTCCAAAACACATGGAAGCAATGATATTACCTACGAGCAGGTAAAGTAATGTTTTCGGAATGAATGGCTTTCCATTGTATTTAGCGATAGCTCTCTGGAAACTAGGAAAGGCGTCACATCGTATAAGAGATTCTAGATTTTCGCCGCTAGCATAATTTCTAAAATGGAATCAATAAGAAGTGCTGATGTTAATTACTTTCTATATATGTGAGGCGGTCTTGCTCTGAATGTTGGAGAAGTTTATTGGAGGTAATAATACACTATTTGATCACTAATGTAGCGTATACTAATTCCATTTCTGTCAATGAGATTACGTGCTTGAAGTATTTATGGGTGCTTTCAATTGAGGATGTTTCAATACACTACTAATCTCGTACGCCTAGAATTAATGCTAGGAAACCAACATACTGACAATATTCAATCCATGTCAATGCAACAGTGGAGGATACAAATTATATAAACTCACCTAATGGCTTGGTGACCTATCTTTCGCTGCAACTTCCACTTATCAGTGAAGTTACCAAATATAATGTTTTGACTCTCTTCTGCCATCAGACTCGAAACTGCAGTATAAGATAATTTAATTAAACTTACCCCGCTAAATGTTGTTACACTCGGGTTTGTACACTAAGTTCACAATGGTTACACTCACGGGGATAGGCATTCATAAAACGAATTTTGTTCGCTGATGGCAGAATGATTGAGTACAAATAAAAACGCATGCGCACAGTATGGGAAATATGACATAGAACAGCATTTCAAAAATGGAACAGTGATTTTACTGTAATGCACTATGTTTGCAGTATTTATGCTGCTCTCAATATAATCTTCAAAAGAAGAAATCTTTAGCAAAGATGCCTTGCTTTGGAAAGTTTTCAATCCCAGTACAATTGGTGGGTTCAGTGTGATTTGTTTCAAATGAATAGTTAATAACAAACTGTAGGTACGATTTAATACATATGACGTCACGAATACATTAGCATACATTATCTTACGTTCATTTTTTCACGTTTTTTTAATCGTACGAGTAATGACGATGTCGTGAATAAAATATGATGTCACATTCGGTATGACATCATTTCGGGTTCAATGACCCTGTGCGAAGAGCGATCGCCAGTCAAGACGTTTGTCGGAATTTGGGTATCACAAACTCTATCAGTTGCAGGGAGGATTTTCTCGGCGGTGGTACGAATTCCCTGTGACTGTGTTACAAGATTAAAGAAGGTGAAAGGATAGAACATGTTGATTCCTGCACCCTCTATCTATACATCAAAAAGTCCACGAGATATCCAGTTGGGCAGTCATGACTAAATACGTCATCGCCAGGCTATTTCAATATTAACAAGTTTGACGTTTTGCCTCTGAGAAGATTGTATACACCTGTTCTGCTTTTCAAGGCAAACAAACTGATGTTCCCACTCCAAATGCACATAAACCATGAATCAAGACAGGCACTGTGGCAATGAGCGTCAGCTCACACTCCGGAATTTGAGAGGCTGACGGAATGGGGTATCACATCACCATGGTCTATCAAGTTTGACATTATGATGAATCAACAATCTGCCACCGAGAACATGTTTCTGAAGGTTGAACAAGAGTCTTCTGGTTATCCAGAGTGGTACCGGACAGAGGAAGACCAAACCACCTATATCCAGAGGTACCATGAACGAGGAGGTATCGTCTTGAACAGAAGCAAGATAACTCCCAATTCAGGCCTCAGAGTCCTCTCCAAGCTAAATCTCAACTCGTTCTGGGGAAAGTTAGGACAGAGGTATAACTTTGGACAGAGCATGAATGTAGAAATTATCGCAGAACTGTTGGTATTGTTGGCGGATACTACGAAGGACATCACAAATCACATTTGTGTCCAATGAGATGGTGCACGTCCAGCACTGCCTGACTTAAACTGTGCAGTGATCTGAAGAAACTAAGTAGCAGACTCTTCTACTTTGACACGAATTCCATCATTGACATCCAGCAAGTTGGAATCCGCTGACAGGTAATTATCTGAGAGATCTGATGAAAAAAGAGGTCCAGCGGATAATTATGTCAAAGAATTCTTATCGGGAAGGCTGACGATTAATGCATACTGACTACATAAACGCGACAAAAGTGAAAACGAATTACAGAAATAAACTGGCATTTAATTTCGAATCCATGAACCGACTCATGTGGGGGACAAGTAGCCCAATCACAATGACATGGGCTCTGCCAAAACGGACGTAGTTCTATCACTCGCCTATTCTGCGTACTGCATTATTTTGTTTTGAGCGGGATTCTGAGAAAGTACATTGAAGAACGTAAAAGAAGGCACGATGACGGGCGAGGTCTAACCATCCACCCACGTCAGCCAAGATTCTCACAGATACCTCCTCAAGCATCTGTTACCAGACACTCTTGAGAAAGTACGCATTCAAACGAAAATTCTTCCATCTCGAGTATCAATAGTGTACAGTATATAGTCGATAGTCATTTCATCATATTAGCCCACATGCTAAGGAACGTCCATTTCCTCTCCATATTGTACAACTCGAAACAACAAAATGGGGTACTCTGTGCGAATGTTTGCTCAATGTGTTGAAAACGAACCTCCAGCTATCGCCTAGTCAGAGAATAAAATTATCATGGTACGCGAAGCAGCTCTGAACACTGTCCGACAAGAAAACTCCAGTTGAGAAGAAACAATTTTGGTTCAGAAAGAAGGTTTCCTGTCCGCTTTAATTGTCCCTTTCAATACGCTCACCCCTACTCGGTCTTAAATAGATGGTATCTGTGAAGAGGACGTCGTTAATCCCGGCTGAGCAATTATCCACCATCCAAGACTAGTATGCTCCAATGTGGTGTAATCGCTGACAAAACGCAAATGACAAATGGATTGTCAAATGACAAACTGTGTCAAAAATCTCTATTCACAAGTACTTATTGTTCCAGGGGATGAAAAGGAGCATATTCAAATCTCTGTTATGTGGCAATTAACCACTGGTGTCGCTGTTGCTGGTTGGGAACCTCAACTATATGCAGATGGAATTACATACAAATCTTACAAAGTGTTCCTAAGAGTATGCAGAGAAAAGCGAAGCTCCTAATTCAGAAAGTTGAACAGAACCAACTGGCTGACTGGGGTGAAACCATTAACCATTGCTAGACAATCCATGCCAGGCACGCACGCCATCAATTTAGTCAATTATTTCTTGCATAAAGGAGGAATTTGAACCTCGTCAGTTGGAGAGAGTTTGTCGAGGTTATGAAAATTTCAAATGTTCCTCAACCTCCAGATGCAATACACTAAACAGGATGTTTTGCACATTGACAGAGGAATGAAATTCACCAAGAGACTCTTCTATAGTTCTAAATCAAGCAGTATGGAGAGGTACAACAGAACCATCAAGTAAAACCAGCCAAGTTTTAAAGAATGGATACTTGCCGAATTGGACCAAAGAGGTATTCACGGTCACTGGAAGTCCCCCCTTTTACAAAAATGGGATGTAAAGGAAGATGATGTATTGTATGCTGTGGAGAAAAAAAAAGAAAATGTAAATGCCAAAAAAAAGTGGCACAGGTATGGCTTGTTTAATTATTAGATGGTAACTTGCAACGTTCGTATATAAGATACACACATGCGGCAAACTGATTTATTTCAAAGACCCATCATGTAATGCCTTACTTGATATTTCCTGGAAAACACGTTGACGAAATACACATGTACACTGTCAAACTAAGCGAAAACACTTTCATTAGGTGGCAATTTGGGAAGTAGAGTTGGCTGACATCCACTACCCAAATTCGTGGTACAACGTCGTACATGAACAAGATGGAATCTTTTATGATGCCACAGTCGGTCAAAGAAATCACAGAGAAATGAAATTGAATCCAGGCTACTACAACTTGATCGAAATGACTTTAGACGTGGTCCAGGACAAAGATCTGCCAGATGAGATACTGATGACATATAAGTCGAGGTGAGAGAGAGTGACCATAGTTAGAATTTCCCAAAATACAACGATTATAAATGAAACACTACCTTTCTGATAGTAGAAGTTTTTATTTCCTCTACATGTATTGCAACATAGTCGAAAATGAAATCGCCAGGGACATCTCCGTTCCACTTTTGAGGATAGTAAATGTTGAAACAATGAATGGAGATAAGATCAATCACACTTTCAACAGTCAATGCTTACTCCCGATTCGAATGTCGACTTTAGAGACTGTGGAGATTGATATAAGGTAGAATATGGGGAGAAGGTGCCATATTAACGTGGACGGGTGATTGTGGTATTAAGTTTTCGCAAAGCTCGTCTATCGCTAGAGTGAACAGATATCAACCGTACACTCCACACATTACTTATTCGGTATTAGACAATTTAGTTGGGAGACCTTCTCAAACGGGTTGTGGATGCGTCATCAAAAGGATGAAGATGATGACAAGACATGTAACTTCTTCCAAACCTAAGTAGAGGAGAATATATCATATAAATATCAGGGGTAAATCTTTCTCTCTCTGGGTTCTCCACACTTGTCAGGGGGGAATCTCGTCTCGTCTCTATATCTCGTCCCCTCGAGGTACGGGATCGGGAAAGTCACTTTAACTTTACAGTCAAATAAGACACACACAACGAAATACGTTTCAGCTCTCGTCTTAGTCGATCTTTTGGAGCACTCTATAAGACACAGCGCCCTGGGGAAAAGTCCCCAAGACTCTCGCAAGGCTGACCCAAGACTTGCCCAAGACTGGACTGCCTCAAGGCTCGCCCCAGGACTCTCTTGGACTCTCGACTCGACTCGACTGCGTCTGTCGTGGAGTATTCGCCAAGACCAACTCAAAACAACTTTATTCATTTTCAAAACTCTGACCAATTACAAAACAGTAAAAAGACTCTAGGGCGTAACCTTCAATCATAAAGCCAATCACACTAAGTACTGAATACGTCATATCTTTTGATTAATCGTTCACTACATTAATAACTA